AACGTTCGGATGGTGACGAGTCGATTTTAATATTGTTTTTTGGAATTCGACTGTTTGAATCTCATGAAGTGACCATGTCTACAGCCATCTTTGTTGATGACCGACACCAATCGCCTTCGAAGGACACTAATTTGGACGAATCGAAGCCGAGAGGTAACCCGGGTATTACTATGTAATAAGAATGACAGCGGTCGTAAAGAAGTTGCATCACATTGTAGCCAAAGAATTACGAATGAAAGAGAACAAAAATACGTATAGATTAAATTAGGTAAAGGTTCATTAAGTTAAATCCAAATACATCAGCTTTACATCAGCTTTCCTAAAAGCTATTTCTATCTCCGTTCAAGCAACTGAAACCAGCAATGACATGTGTACTGACCATAACAGACGACTAACACATTACTAGATTTTTACTCACCAGCCAGGTAACCCCCTAAAATGTTAGCGTGTTTGTCCTAGGCATCTTGATAATATAGGGACAATATAGGAAGTTAAGATCTTCTAGCTGTTTGCCAAAAAGCAAACTAAGGTAAACAAGGGCGGTCTAAAACGTGTCCCTAGCTAGGCATGGTATGCTGGAGCAGTAAGCTTGTCTACATTAACTAACATTCATATATTCCCTTATTTGGCACTTTAGTATTTTGCGTTCTAGCCATCAAGCTTTCCTTCAATATGTTCAGCACGGTAAGAAATTTAGGATGAACGTACCTTTGCTAATTCGGCTTCAGATGCCACAGAAGTCAGTGCTCGATGGTCGTCGGAGAGCCTGTCTTCATCTTCAAATAATCAACCCGGATCTCTCAACTTTGCCAACCTCACAGACAGTCTGCTTATAAATGACCCAGAACCTGTGCCCAAAAACCAATTGTTTAAATTTAAAAGCCGTTGTGATCGATTCGAGTGATAATTGACCTTGGCAGCGTATTGACGTATGTTTTGTGCTTAGTTTGCACAGGTGCTTAAAATACGAAAAAACGATCGATATTTCTTTGCTGTGCATTTGCGAATTATTGCCAAAAGCTACTCTCACCCCCAGTAGGCTGGAAAGCGTATTATTTCAGAGGAAATTAAAAAAAGGCAACAAAGATTTTTCTGCTGTTACCACAAGTATTTTTTTGGAAATCATACACCATTGGCCAAAACGAACGCCCCCCTCCTTTCGCTCGAATGCGCAATCAGTCTCTTTCATAGTTTCATCCCGCTATATGGAAAGTACAAAACAGGGGCTATAGGGACACGTGAGTGTTTAGTAGGTATGCACTTGTACACGATATGCAGCAGTGCCTACTTCGGTATCACCTCCTCTAGGGCATTTGGACTGAGGTACTAGTTTGCGAGACGGAGTAGGGCGCACTTGGGTAGGCAGGGAATTGTGATCGATCACGGATTGGGTTCAACAACGCTACTGAAATCCCACGTAGGAAATATGTCCTGCAAGCCGGACCAACAAGCGATTGCCACATCACGAGTCAGGCACGTGGAAAGTACAATCAGTGTATCATTGTGCAGTCTGTGGAAGCCGGTAAGGCGAGATTTGGTCCTACAGCCCCACTTGATTGGTAACATACGCTTAACTTGCTAAAACAGTTTTAATCAACATACCCAAGCTAGCCATTCGCTGGATTAGGAAGGGAAAGACAGAGCAATCAGAGTACACGCAGGGAAGCGCGTGTGAACCGATGTTTGGTGTAAACGAAGGTGGCATGTACAGTGAGTGACCGATCTCATGAAATGTTGGCTGAAATTCTGAAATGCGTTTTTGAATAAAAAGGATTAATAAGGTGGCGTTGTAATAGTCCTCATCATGTAGCATAATCCTATGATATTTCGGACTCGTCAGGATGTCGGCTTTTGAATGCATTTCTTTCTGACTTCCCACAGAAACTGTACTCGGTAAATAGTGACTGCTTAAATAGCATGCATTTTTCACATTGATTTTCGATGGTCTTATTAGTTCAAATATATTTTATAGAAAACATGAACAAAATATGCTTTCTTTTACTTTTTCGGTAGGAAACTATGTTTTCTTTATCTTTTTTACCCTGAGGCAGTTTATATTTCGGTTTTAAAAAAGGTTCTAATTATGAGGTTTTTAAGACCGTGTGGTGTCCATATATACAGCATCGCGGGTGTCCGTTTACCAATGTTCCACGTGAAAAGTACAACACAGTCCGTGTCCATTGCAAGACTTTATGAACTCTATATAGTGTCTTCCTAAAAGCACAGAGTCATTTATGATTTTCCTTATGCGGAACGCATGCAGCTTGTGTACTGAAATCGCTAACCACTAATGTAAAGGTTGATCAGGCTCAAAATTATTCGGGGATTGGGAAACTTTTTCAAGACCTAAATATACATTTTTCGGGTATAAAATGTGAAGACAACGTGATTTTCTACCAAACAAGTAAAAGAAAGCGTATTTTTGTACATGGTTTCTATAAAATATATTTGAACTAATAAGACCATCGAAAATCAGTGTGAACAATGCATGCTGTCTAAGTAGTCACTGTTTACCGAGTACGGCTTCTGCTGGAAGTCAGAAAGAAGTGCATTCAAGAGCCGACATCCTGACGAGTCCAAAATACCATAGGATTATGCTGCATGATGATGAATGGTACAATGCCACCTTATTAATCCTTCCTATTCGAAGAGGCACTTCAGAATTTCGGCCAACATTCCATGAGGTCGGTCACGTACTGTACACACTCACTGCGACGCAGCCACTCACTGGATTAAGAGGATACGGAGAGTGCAGTCGCAGTTTGAAGGCCACAGAGGGAATCGCGTGTTAATTCACAGTGCATGGTTACCGTGGTGGGACAGAGGGAGTTCTACACCGTCCGAGCAGTGACATTAGCAAGTCAACTTAGCCACCCGCCGGGGTGAGATAGCGAAGAGGTTGCAAGCAGGGCTCGAAGCACGCTTGGGGAAGTGCGGGTGAACTGATACCTGATGTTACCGTGACTGACGTATAAGCACTCCCCCTTAGTCACAGTTACTTGCTGGATTAAAATAGCGGGGGAGGTGCAAACACGTGATGTATGTAAAGTCAACGTAATCGGACCCACTAAAACTGTTTTGGTTAGCTAACCATACGATATCTCTCAAGAGGGGCTGCAGGACCAGACCTAGCCCATATTTTTAACGCCAATTGAAGGCCTTCTTTCCCTCCTCTGTCTCACTGTGACTTAACCCCACTATTTCTCACCTACGTCCACATCGCCTTTTTGCCTCATGCAAACTTATCTACCAATTTCGCCCTAGCAACTTTGCACCGAATCGACCTCCCTACTCGAGGCAACAGAAGTAGTTCACAAAGGCCTGCTCTGTAAACGTCTCTCCGGCACTGCCGCTGTTGTCCCCACCGCAGGCGGTCAACAGTTGATCGAACTTCGGGATCTTGAGACTCAGTTTGAAGTTGTATATGATAGCCTCCTGGACAGCGCAATAAACACTCCTCTGCAGTCACCGATGCCTGTCATTCATAAGAAGTCAGCAATCGTTTCACGATCATGCGGCTGTTACAGCAGGGGCAGATGTTTTCCACAACCACCATCTAGTCTCCACACGTAGTAAGCCGCAATAGAGTGAAGGACAAGCTCTGAGAAGACCCGCGGGACCTCTTAACGGCTATGCCGAAGGCGGACAAACTAAGTGCTCTTGTTGACTTCGATGCCAGCGTAGGCACAGATTCCCGAGAGCGTTGCAAAGTCAGCAATTGCAATAACAAGGGTCGCCTTCTGCTGTAGGCACGCACACTATGATCTCCTCACCAACAACACCTTTCATCTTTCAATTCGGAAGAAGACAATGTGGCAGCTGCTAGACTACGTCCTCGTTAGGAGGCAAGGTCAGTATGCTGCGTGGCGTGTAATGCTCGACTTATCATCATCTTGTTGATCCGAAGATGGAGTTGTAACGTCAACCCTGAGACGTTCTCAAGGTAAAAAACGCCAGTTAGGACAAATGTTGTGGTACCGGACACGGCTGAATGCTGACCGTGCTGATATTGGGACCAAATGGAGGAAGCCGATATGGTCTTTCTTCTGCTGTCAGAAATTTCGGTCTATTTTAGTGGCCGGGAAAGTTAGTTCCGGTTAATCACCGTTATGAAAAAAGTCAGTTGCACAAAACGTGATTGTTAATTATAGTTTTCGACACACTTCGTCCACAGATTATCAAAAGATCCTAAGTGGGCACAAACGAACCAATAGGACTTTAAGGGTCCTAAGCGACGTACTTCGATGGAGCCCTTGACAACTTTCTTCTAGTTGTCCACTTACGAAAACGTTTGATAATATATAACCAGGAGGCATTTTCGTCGTTATAATGAGAAAATAATGCTTACATGCTGTTTTTGTTCGGTTCTTTAACTACGGAATTGTCATCTTTGTTCTTTACGTTTTTTCTAGACTTCCGAAATCTTGCGAGATCTCACCTATTAGTCATTTGAAGGAGGCATGGCCAAGAGCAGAGTTTCTTATTCTGTATTGTTTACGTTTATGTAGGCCTGTTTCGCTATAAAATACGTTGTACATCCTCTCTCTTAACTGCCAGTGTTGGACAGTGCGTTTAAAAAGGTCAAAACTTCTACACTGTAAAAATAACTTAGAAACGTCTTGGAGACTGTGATGTTCGCATTTCGAGCCTACTTATCAGGTGCATTGGTGAGATAAGGGCAAGTTTCTCCAAGTTTTATACCCCTAAAGAGTTCACTAATGCGAAGTATTGGATGTGAGAATATCCATAGCAGAGTCACGGAAATAAACCAGTGCTCGACAGTCATCCGATATCGATATACATGCTGGTTCTATATACTAGATTGACTTAACAAACCCTACAAGCAGCTTCACATTCGTTCGTCTGAAGACCATATTCACAAAAAGGCGCGTTTCAAGTTCTAGTTCATTTAAAATATCTGCTTACGTGGCCATTGAAAATAGATCCTTCATCTGTACCCCCGTGTTTCCAAAGATTCTTATTGAGCTCAGTTTCGGTTTCTACGGGCGACGTGAAATTGTACAGCAGGTCCTTCGGTCACTTTGTGCCCTCTGTCCAGCCCAGTTCCGAATTTTTGAAGTGCACCCGGTCTGCAAGGCGGGTATGGTCTCCTGGACATCCCCGCCGCCACCGCCGCCGCCACCACCACCACCGCCACCACCACCACCACCACCACCACCACCACCACCACCACCACCACCACCACCGCCGCCGCCACCACCACCACCACCACCAACAACAACAACAACAACAACAGCGGCAACAGTAACAGCAACAGCTTGAATGTTTGTGCCAGCCATATGCTCTGTTAATAGCACATGTAGCCGCAGGTTTTCGCCGAATATGGTGCAGCTCACTCTGATGCAACTTCTCTTCCACAAGACAGTAAGGTCTGTTGTTGGCGCATTTCGTATCGCAAGAACTGTGAACATCTTACGTAAATGAGGACGTGATCTCTTAGTAAGGTTCGTCGATACGAAGTGGAAGACAAACGCCATGGCACACGCGTAGACGAGATTTTCAAGTAATTTCAGTCATTGAACCCAATCTCATCAACTGTCTGCCGACGCATTCGGATGGGCCTGCTGCTGCATGAAGGAGCGAAGAAGGGGTGAAGTCGATTATGAAAGATCCTTCCTCGAGGAAAATTAGCTTCATCCTCATTACAACAAATTTCACCCGTTTGATCCCGTCGTGACGTGCTGAAAGTCGTGGCTTGGAAGAATGCCAACTTGTAAAGTAACTTTTCCCTCCTCTCAAAACGAGGTCCAATAGTGTGACCCTTATGACACCTCTTAAACCCATGAAATCCTAGCCCGTGTGGCAAACGCCGGGAGGATATTATACGCCACTCTGCTCAACCTCATGCCCAGTCTTTATGATTCGGGCAAGAAAGTGGGGTTCAGGAGTGGTACGAGAGAACTGAATCGGTCCAGTTTTGATCTAACTTTTGTTTTCTCACTACAAACACGATTAAAAATACCACAACACGCTAACATCCGTACTTTGGAAGTTTTCCAACAAACGGGCTAAATCGGTCTTACTCAAGGACCGCGAGTCAGGTTTCAATGACTGTCTTACAGTGTGACCTTGACGGCACTTTGACCTACAACAGGTGATCTGTCTCGTAAAATGTTGACGGAATGTTCTGGAATGTGTTTTTAACTAGAAAGCAGTACTTAAGTGGGTTGCAGTAGTGGTTGTTGTACATTATAGTCCCACATTATAGTCACACCAGGATTCCGATCATTAAATGCACATGAACCACACTCCGCAAGTGCAAAATTTACGTAGTATGAATTTCTTCCAGTGAGTTCGGCGCATCTATAAAGTGAAGCGTATTTCTTAGAAAACACACACAAAACATCATTTCTCGTGCCCATTTAGTAGCGGGTCAGGCAGTTTTTTTAAATTTAACACTCGAAGAAAGTTTTCTTCCCGTTTTAAATGATCTCCAAGTCCCGAATAATTTGTAACCCGATCTGCAGCTGTACATGCATTTAGGGTTCCTAGACCACAAGCTAAATACTTTCTATGTAAGGGAAATCACATGTTCTTCCCTGCCATTGAGGAGGTAATAAATAGGGTTGATAAACTTTTACAATATCTTAGGATTATGCTGCTCGACGGTCAATATTACAGCCACGCCTAAGTAGTCCTTTTCTAACCGAAAACGCATTTTACAATTGCCGCCGGCGTTTTAGGTGGTAGACCACCTACGGTACGTGAGTTCCGAAACCCCCATGATGAAGTTCGCTACACGTGAACTTGGAGGTCAGACTGTGTGTGTGTGTGGCGTGCGCAGATGAGCTGCCTTACTTTATTAGTCACGCACTGGTCTCGACTTCATTTGGCATCAGAAGGCGGTGAGTTTGAAAGGAGAGAATGAGTTAGAAGAAGTGCATGCGTGCTCCACCATAAGTAAACTGCAAGCCACGGCTGCGTCCATCCTGCGGGGCATCAGTGGACCACGCCATTTGCGGCTCTCTGACTGTCGTCCACAGTGAGTTTAAAATTCATCTTCTGTCCTTGGTCTTGGGACGTCGGAAAACACTTCGGTTTGTCCCTTTAAACTATTTTCTCAAATTTCCAGACGCTCTACCGCTGATACAAAGGATCATACCGCTGGTGAATTTGCGGGCTACTTCGAAGAGCTACTCTACAGGACTTCATTTTGCCAGTGTCGTTTGATGAAGATGTTGGCATTCCGATTCCGCCTACAGTTCCCCGTTTTAGAAACACAGGTTTCCTGTGATGATTACTCGTTCTCCAAATGTGCCCCAGACAATGTGATCCATATAGACGATATTTACTGTAATATTAGTTCGGAATGGGACAGCCGTGCTTTTGATCGCTTTCTGGGTCAGATGTGCGTACGTAGCCTCACCTGAAGTAAACAAACCACAGCCACCTGTAATACGGAACCGGTGGTAATAGGGGTTTTTACATGTGGAACCGGGGAACGCACAAGCGACGAGATCAAGTAGTTGCATGCAGAAGACAAGCTATTGGGGATGCCCTATTGTACTTTAAGTGGTCGAGAAACTGTTGCCCAACCCCTAACTCTAACCCTAGCCCCATAACCCTAACCCCTAACCATAACCCCTAAGCATAACTCCTAACCCCAACCCCAACACTGTTGTGCGCATTAAGTAGGGCTACATAGCCACATCTTACTGCTTTTTAGATTCTCGTGACTATTTCATATTCCTCAATGGACTAAACCGTGAATGTTTTGGCGACGACTATTTTCAACGATCTCGATAGTGTCGTTTGCGAATATCTAACTCGTATTTCAAGAGTTAGTTATTATTTCCCGCACTATTCCTGTTGAAATAATGAAATCTTCTTTCTTTTTGCCAAGACCACATTCCTAATTTGACGAGGTTATCACCCTTATCATCTATTTTCCAGTTTTACCTTAGCCAGGTCCCCAGCTATCATAATAACCACCTGGTGGTACACAAACGAAGTCGTGGTAAGGCGTTCTCCGATCGAGTATACATTGTAACGAGCCCGAAGGAAAAGTGCGCGAACTACGGCATCTCAGGGACCAATTGGCAAAATATTTCATCAGCCGCTCTCCCGACGGACAAACTAAAGAGAGACACCAAAAATTTGGCACTCGCGACCGTATGTGAAGAATGTGTCCTTGACCAAAGAACACTTTGCGGCAGAGTTAGACGTGGATATCGCCCACCGTCCGGCGATTACAGCGCGTACCAGAATCATAAAGATGAAGGATTGGCTAGACGCAGGTAAACAATCGGGTGTAATTTATAAAATTCCGTGTCATGACTGTCCTTGGTATTGTATTGGCGAAACAGAATAATGCATCCGCCCGCGAAAACTCGACCGCAAACGGGCCGTTCAGAGAGGTGACTCACTCTCCCAGGTCGCCACTCGATGACAGTTCGACCGTCGTTCCCGACGATGTCCATCGTGTGCTCCACAGCAATGTAAAGCAGACACAGTGACTTGGGTGTAAATTAGTGGATTGTGAGTGCAGACTTGCGCAGCATCTGCCGCACTCTCTCTTCTCCACCTGAGCCCGGTGTCAAGACAGAGTCAAGAAGACTGGAGCCGCGCGTTGATGACGCGACCGAGTTCGCATCTTGGCGTCCAAATCCACACTCCGTGGTCCACACAACACTTGGCCAGAATTTAAACCAACAACGAAAATGGGAATGCGGCAGGAATCCCAATATGCGCCTCGTGAGCCGGCAACTGGGCCCATCATCAAACCTCGAATGTTGGCATTTGTTATCGTGCGTATTCCGATAACGCCTGCCAGAATCCAATGCCACCCCCATGTTGGTCCAGCGCATCCACCACGTGGCCCGTTTGAAGGGTGCAGTCACCGCTCACACGCTGGAGGAAGACCATCAATTCGACTTCGCCAGCACGCAGATACTGGCACGGGAGGTAAACATGACGGGGCGGGAACCGTTGGAGGTGCGGATGCCAGACACCGACTCCATCGGTAGACATACTGACCTACCCCCTTGTTATCACGCGTTACTCGCATGCAGCAAGGTGGGGCGGCTCACATCGCCGCTAAGGACAAACGCCATCACCACTCCGAGAGACCATCCTGTGCCAGGCGGCAAGAAACATACCTAATTACAGACGCAATCCTCCAACCCCCACGGTACGACTGCATAACTGTTCACACGTTGTTGCACTCCAACAGTCTCTAATGACGAAGTCCTGTTCGAGTTCAGAAGTTCAGGCTAATAAAGTTACCGTCCTAATGATCGTGTCTTTGTCTTCTTTTTAACCAGAACCTCGGGATGCGTCTGTTTTATTTCATTTATGCTGTAGCTCACTTCATGTTCTGACTCAGAAGCAATAATCGTCGGAAGTTTCAACATGTCTTTTGTTGACTTGGTGGACGATCTATTAATCAGCATTTAGGGTTATTTTGAATGCAGCTGTTATCTACTTCTCAAGAGAATATAAGTTGTACGGACACTCTTAACAAACATATTTCTTTTGAAACTGGGCCTCTGGTCCAACGGAAAAAGTGTTGCAGACCAGGGATATTTAATTCCGCATCGCGGAAAGCTATCACTTGTTACCCTTCCTTGTTTTAGTTACTGGCTCAAATAGATACCTTCCAGTGCCGAGCTAGTGGAACTCTGCCGTTAAGTACGCATACGGATCTTAACCATTATGGTACCTGACCTACGATGTACCTTCCTTCATAGAGAACCAACTTGGAATGCTGAAGCTGCCTGTGTGCTTTCCATAGAAAGGCAGTTTTCTGTCCAATGGTTTGACACAAGTGGCCGTATCTTAATTCTTGTTTTTAATAATCAATCCTGCATGCATTTAGGAACTCCACATTTTTCGGATTGCCACTTGAGAAAGAAGCTCCTCAGCTATCTTTACTAATCGAAGTGCCCTTTCGTATATGAACAACATCACCGAAGTATCGTAGAACAACTGTTTCCGTTCGCTGGCGACATACAACGTTAGCCCATGCACAGAACTACAAATACTTTTGAGAAAATGCGGATCTGAGTTTGTGGTCTACTCTAATGTTTGTTCTGGGAGATAAGATTGTCTTTTGTTGAGAAGGATGGATTTTAGTCTGTGGAAAAGGAATGCAACTTGCCTGAAGTTACAGATTCATACTCAGACGCATAATTAGAAACATCAACAGGCAGGAGTAGTGAACACGCAGAAGATGTAGTATTTCTACCATGCAGTTGCTAAGCCGGAGTTTCGCAATCAAAATTGGTGACTATTACACTCGACACCTGCTTAAGTAATTTGGATGTTAACTATTTGTCCA